GCAGCCAGTATCCCCAGTGCTGGGCTGGTCACCATGCTCCTCATTCTGACGGCCGTGGGCCTGCCAACAGAGGACATCAGCCTGCTGGTGGCTGTGGACTGGCTGCTGTAAGTGCCTGTGGGGGCATGGAGGATGGGGGTGAAATGCTGGGGATTGTGAGCACAGCTTCCCAGGGGAGGACAGGTGGCCAGGTAGCAGCCAAGATCTCAGCCAATCCCCCTGGCAACTCCCCCCCTCCTTCCCTCTAACATTTACTCAGTGCCTCCTTGGGAGCCAAAGAAGAAAAAGATGGAATCTCTGAGGGCCTCACAATCTAGCAGAGGAATCAGATAGATTCTAATACAAAGTTAAAAGCATAGTGATAAGGAACCAACTATTGATGGATGCAAAAAACTCAAAACATCATGTTGAGTGAATGAAACCAGACACAGAGGAGTGTGTACTCTATAATTCCACTTGTATAAAGCTCTAGGAAAGATAAGATCATTAATAGCAATAGAAAGAGACGAGTGGTTGCCTGGGGATTGGGGTAGAGCATGGAAATTAACTGGAAAGGAGCAAAGGAAAGCTTTAGAAGTGATAGAAATGTTCCATATACACAGGTATGCACAGGTATCCACATTTGTCAGAACTCATCAAGCCATGCACTCAACATGGGTACATTTTATTACACGTAAATTTAAAAATAACATACACATATGCATAATGATAGAGAGATACACCCATCCCAGTCCAGGATGGAAGGGCAGAGTGGAGAATGTCAGGAAACAATAGGAATGATTACCAAATTTGAGAGCTCACCATGTGCTAGCTACTATCCTGACCACTTTACATCTTCTTAGAACTATCCTGAAAGTTTGGTTATTACTCCCATTTTATAAATGAGAAAACAGGTTTAGAGAGGTGAAGTGTCTTGGACAGAATTTGACCCTAGGTCTGTCTGGTCTGGAGCCTGCTGCATTCTTTCATGTCCATTTTCAAGCTTCTAAAGGCAGTGATAACTGAGCTGTCAGCTGAGCATAACTGATGGGTAGATGTTACCCAGGTACATGTAGGTGGAGGGGGAGCAGGACGACATTCCAGTCAAGGCCAGTCTGCACAAAGGCACTGAGGCTACAAACAGTGCACAGACCTATGAGTAGTCTAGTATTGTTGGAGTGGTGAGAGTTGAGGTCAGATGGACAGGCTCAAAGGCCATACACAAAAGCTTAAACTTGACCATGTATGTGCAGCCCAGCCCAGCTTCCCCAGTGAAGGACATTTTCCCAGTGTAGAAGACTCACTGCCCACTCACAAAGGTGAGCAAATCTAGCCAGATTGTCCCCAATGTGGCGGTTGGAATGGATTCTCTCTAAGGGCCCATCTGGGCTCTGATGTGCTGTGAGATGTGCTTAGATGCCTCCTGTCCAGTGTTGGAGTTAAATGATAGGGCCTTGGGAGGCAGTGCCATGGGCTTCAGTTTCAGAGATGCAGAGTGATAAGTGCTGGCATAGAGGTCCAAGGCCAAAGTGCCCACACTTATTTTTCAAACTGCCTCAGATGTCAGTGGCGATTTTTCTGACATTTATTGATATAGATTTTAAGAGCCAGAAGCCAGATGTTAGGACTTAGTTTTTCCCTCCTCCTTACCTTTGCCCTCCCAAAGAGAGAAAAATGCACATGGTTGAAAGAAAGAAGAACATCTGGGGAGGCTAGAAGGAACCTGGTCTCCCCATAAAATGTGCTGCTACTGCTGCAGCTGGGGGGGGGGTCAGGTTGGAAATAGGAAGTGGCTCCTGGGACATAATCTGTTCAACTCGGGGGGACTTCAAAGAAGGTCATGGATCTCCGTGACTGGCTTTTTAACCACTGGAGGAATGCTCTGGAAATGCCTCTTGTGAGAAGGTGAAGAGCAAACAGAACAATGTCATGTCTGTCTCTGCCTCTCTCTCTGGTGGTGGCGGGTGGGGTCCTTCCCTGCTAGCTTGGTTGTTCTCTGTGCCTGTGTTGGCCCCAAGGGGCAGACTTTCTCATGATGGGGGTGCATGAGTGGGAAGGACTGGCAGAGAACGGGACGAAGGAGATGAGGAGTGGAGTGGGGTGTGGACGGGGAGGAGGACAAAGGGGAGGTGAGGACATTGGCAGTGGTTTGGGGATGGAGCACATAGTAGGAGCTCAGGAAATGTGTGCTAACCTCGACTCCACAGTTGCTATGTGATAAGCAGGGCCTTTCCACACAAGAAGAAGGACAAAGGACACCAGTCAGATTCCGTGGGCTTCCCCTGTGACTGGTGGCTTACATATCCCTTGCCTCTCAGCCTCTCACACCTTCTCACCTTAGGTTGTCATTGAGCGTCACTTGCCTGCTGTGACGACATGTCTTGTTTCTTCTTGGGCTTGTTTCTGAGGCCCAGAATCCACCACAGAGAGTCATCTTTTTAAAAATTATTGTAGAGGCTGCCCCCCATTATAATGCAAATGCCCTTGAGTGGGTACTGCAAGGTCTACCCTGTTTTCATTGAATCCTTAAAGAACCCTATGGTGTATTTCATAGATGAGGAAACTGGGAATCAGAGCAGTCAAGTCTCTTGTTGAGGCACAGAAGAGCTTGTGTGCCCAGGTCAGGGCCCTTCACCCTGCCCCACACAGCCTCCTAATTTGTACCAAGCAGTTCTAACAGTAAAGGAGAGGACCAGAGAGGTCCAGAGTCAAAAAGTTTGAAAAAGACCTGCCGGGATCACCCAAGCACTATGCTTTGAATGTTTGTCCTGCTCCAAACTCATGTTGAAATTTAAGTGTCATTGCAACAGTGAATAGAGGTGGGACTTTTAAGAGGTGATTGGCCATGAGAGCTCCACCCTCAGGGGTAGGACTGGTGCTGTTACAAGAGGGCAAGTTCATCCCCCTCTTGCTCTCTCTTTGTCCTTCGCCTTCTGCCATGTGATGACACTGCAGGAAGGCCCTCCCCAGGTACCGGTGCCTTGGTCTTGGACCTCCCCGACTCCAGAACTGTGAGAAAACAAATTTCTGTGCTTTATAAATGACCCAGTCTCAGGTATTTTGTTATAGCAGCACAAATGGACTAAGACACCCCTGGCTCTACAAACTTGCACTAACCAGAGAATTTTTTGTTTGACATGTTTTGTTTTGTTTTTTTCTCCCCTCCCAGGATTAAAACAAAACAAGTAGCCTAAATGGGGACAAAGGGGTTGTGATCAAGACCTCAACCACCCTTAGAATGCAAGTCCCCCAGCCCGAGTAGATCTGCCATTGTGGGCCCTGATCTTCCTGGTAGTCATTTGCCTTCAAGCCTGTTGGACAAGAGTCACTTTATGAAACATTCAAGACCCTGCGTACTTCTGACCTACATGTTAGCAAACGGCATAGGAAGGCCGGGTCTTCCCGGATCACCTCATGCAGGAGCTCACATGCTCACACTTGCACGAAAAAGCAGGGCATCCTAACTGTAAGACTGAAATGTGCCAGCGGGAGGGAGTTGGCTGAACAAAAACAATGATGATAGATTCAGATTAACTATATTGATGAAATCGCATAAGAGAAAACTCCATCCTAGGCTGGAGCTGGAAGGAAGGGAGCAAACAAAGAGCTCTTCTCTAGTTCTGGGGCTCTCATCTCAGATGGAGGTGAGCTGTGTGGTCAAGGGAAAGAAAGGCCAGGAGATGGGGCCCTGGGTTCAAGTTCTGCACTTACTATCTATAGGACTTAGGGCAAGTTCCTCACTCTGGGCCTCAGCTATATCATGTGTATGGTGGGAACAATAACTTATCAGCTTGAATGCAGCAGGAGTTTAGATCCAATGCCTTTGAGTGCCCTTCTGGTTTTATGACCTGGAGGAGGATTCTGATGGTGATGGATGTTTGTGTACAAATAAGCATGAGCATTCCTTTTAAAAAGAAAAGAAAAAGGAAGGGTAGAGGACCCTGGGAAAATGTGCATAGGGGTCTGTAGCTAGGTCAGATCTGCTTCGAATTAGTAGTGGTGCTGCATTCTTTCTCGCTAGCAAGAGGAGTTCTGGAAACAAGCTCTTGGTCGTGAGCTCCATGGTGGCTGGGTGCTCATTAGTGTGTAGGTGGACGGGTTGGGGGGCTGACTTGAGGTAGGGGTGCAGGAGAGGCTGGCCATTCCCTTGAAAAGTAGTCTATGGAAGAAAAGCAGAGAAAAAGAAAAGGGAGGAATTTTTTTTCCTCTCTAGGCAAGGTTTGTAAGCTTTCATAACTCAAGCAATTTTTCAATTTAAAATCAAACAAAGCCTTCAGTGACATTTAATGTGTCACGGTGTTTGCCAGCTGCTGGAGACCAGCCAGTCTCATTACTGCCTGCTAAGCCCTGGATGCTTTTCAGCAGGCAGGCTTAGCTGCTCTGTAAATGTCGTGGTGAAAACCTAGCTTCTGGAGTCCTCGAGCACTGGATGGGCAGGACTAGTTAAAACCAGAAACCCTTTGTGTCAGGAACCCTTAGCAGATATTTACGAGACTTCGCTGACACCCCTCTCTCTCTGAAGGAGGCAGGATGGAGTGAAAACTGAGCACCAGTACCAGGGAGAGGTAATAAATAATGGAGTCTGGCCATAGGTAGGAAAGTGAAAGCCAAAACACAGTGAAACCTGCATGAACCTGTGTCCCACTTCTCGTATACGACTCCACTAGCGAGATCTTCTCTGGGCTCACATGTGCTAATTGGGGGATCTAGTTGAGATGGCACTTACAAGGAGGACCTTCAAGAGCTTCCATCCTGCCCGAGGGACTCTGAAGCTCCTCCATTTTCATCCCTCTCTGGAGGGAATAGAGCAGTGGTTCTTAAACTTGGGCACGCACCAAAATCTCCTGGAGATTTGGGAGTTCTGTATGGGGCCCAAGAACTGGCATTTCTAACAAGTTTTCAGGTGGCTGATCATGCAGTCTCAGGACCTCACGTCCAGAAGCAACAGTGTGGAGACAGGGAAGGGAGCAGGAATACCTGGTTGTGAGTATATGAGCATCTCTGCTCTTTTTGAGTAACTGTTGATAGTTTCTGCATCCATTCAACAAAAATAGATTGAAAGGATGCAGGATGCTAATAGCTCATACTTGGCGAGTGCCACTTAAGTGTTAGACATTGTTCTAACCAC